GTACGGGGATGTAAGACTGAATGCAGTACCCTAGGTTAGTCCATAAAAAGGTGGTACTGTGTCACAGTACGGGGATGTAAGACTGAATGCAGTACCCTAGGTTAGTCCATAAAAAGGTGGTACTGTGTCACAGTACGGGGATGTAACACTGAATGCAGTACCCTAGGTTAGTCCACAGAAATTTGTCAGTTTTATCGAATTATCTATTTTTGGCACATGTACAAATTCTTATAGCAAAATCACTAAAACTTTTTGTTATCACCAAGGTTTATGTTTTTGTCACTGAAATGTTAACTGTTAAAAGCCAGAAATGAATAATTATTACACATAAAGTTTATATACTTTTTACATTTGCTTCACCACATAGACGTTTTCGAAAATTTAATCACCAAGGGAACAGGTAGATGATCCCAATAAGACAAAAAGTAAATACAAATGAAAGAGTAGCCTTTTCAATTTTCATTCACTGGAAACTACTTAATTATTTGTCTGTTTTTTGTTATAAGTTTTCTGTATTGAATAATTTAAGACGAATGATTGTTATTTCAATTTTTCTTACCGTATTTTGTAAGCCTGACATCCATCAACTTTTAGACAGAAGTACCAGAATTGCATCTATGAGAGTCCCTGAGCAAGTAATGCTAAGCTCATACATCATCTGCCTTTTTTTATCTCTTTATTTATTTATATTGATTTTGTCAAACTTTCTTGCTTTATCTTTACCTAATTTTTATCTTATTTTTTGCAGTTTTTTATTGGTTTCTTTTATGTGTCTGGTGGATAATATTTTAATTATGTTTTAGTTATAAGTATCGACCTGAACATGAAGCTGTTTTTCTCTTTGTGGTTTTCACGGGATATTAAGAATCTTTTTATGATGTTGGCACCTCAAGAAAACAGTTTCAATGAGGTACAATCATTGCAAACGTGTCCATCTTTTGCAACCAGTTTGAAGTTAGTAATTCAAACCTAAGCACTAAAGATACTGCCTCCATTAGCATTAAGTTGTCTCTCACTCCTGGGTTATGCTGCATTGTCTCAATTGGTAGACTCTCAATAAACTTGCCAATGACAATATCCTTGCGATCTGCTAATGCCACAATGGAATATGCCTTTCCATGTAGATGTCAGTCCAATTATTCGTTGATAAAAAGAGTAGCTCAAGAGTTGGCTGTGGGTGTTGATGACTAGCTGCCTTCCCTTTAGTCTATCACTACTAAATTAGGGACGGCTAGCGTAGATAGCCCTTGTGTAGCTTTGTGCGAAATTCAAACCAAACAAGCGGCATATTGCAGGCACTAAACTATGAGGAAGAGGTCCTAGATTGCACCTGATCCTCCCAAGTCCAACCAAGGACCTAAATCCCGATGAAGCAGAACAGCAGGCGCTAAACTTAGATCTTGACCCGAAGCCTGACCCTCCCAGATTCCCCACGAAGATCTAGATCCCCTTGCAGACAATATCAAATACTAGGTCATGCCCGGTCCGGAACATACGCACATTATGTTAGCGTCGTAAATGCGAAAAGGTGTCGAAGAAAAAGGAGAAATTTTGCTATGCAATACTTTGATGTTAAATACCTTTAGAATTATATCTGTATATGTATAACATTGCATAATTTGTGAAACAAATCCATCAACTTAAATTAACTGTTGTTATCGTCGATCTTTTATCATGAGAATTATTTGATTGTCTTAACTTTATTCAACGTTTATTTATTATTTAAGTGTATTTTACGAATATAAGCAAATGTTTTTTAATGAGCTGTATTAATTAAACATTTTATAAATGGTTTGTTTGTTTTGAATTTCGCGCAAAGCTACACGAGGACTATCTGCGCTAGCCGTCCCTAA